AATTATTTCGTAGAATAGGATAATTTCAATATATTGACAAAGGTAAGACTAAGAATATTGTTCAATTAAAGTGTGTGGTACATATATGAAAACATATTTACTTTATTTTTAAAGAATTTAATAGGTACATCTATTTATCATATTTTAAAATTTTGATTAAAATAAAATAAATTCTATTTTCATTTTAAAAATAAATTTTTATAATTGAAATCTTATTTCTTACTATATTATAAAATTAGTTAAAGTCCTTAATAAATTCTAACAAATATATCTAATAAACCTTTTAAAATTTTCAAAAAAAAAATCTTTAAAAAACCTTCAATAAATCATCAATAGATACCGAATAATATTTAATAAACTTTTTAAGATATTCAATAAATACTAAATAAATATAGATTTTTACATTTCAAATTCAATTATATTTTCAATAATAATTTTTTCCTTTTAAGATAATTATACTTTAATAATCTAATTTCAATCACTTCAATTATTTTAATACGAACTCAATTATAAATACCCCATATAAATTTTGAAATCTTTACTAAATTACAAAATAAATACCTAATAAAATTTTAAAAATTTTAAATAAATACCAAAACATAAATGATCTCACATTTCAATTCAAATAGTATACTAATCTTTGGCGATGAGGAGCCATGCACAAAGCATAAAAAATCAAATATTTTAAAAGTAAAAATGGGCTTTTTGAATCCAATTAATTCTACTCATATAAGATTAACTTCAATTTATAGTTTTATATCCTAAAACACATCATTCAATCATAATTTATTTTTAACGAAAGAAGATATATAATGGTTGATAAATAATGATATAATAATATAACAATAATAATAATAATAAAAGAAGATAAAAATACAATTTATGGTTTTATTTGGAATTAAAAAAAGATATGTAATGATGTACTGACTGCTGGAGGTGCAAAGAGTGACTAAAAATAAATAATATAATGGAAGAATAAGATAAAAAAAATAATAACAAAAAAATTATGAATATTTTACTACACATTCCTTGGCGTACTAATGTGTGATGTCCCACTGCAACATTGACTTCTTTTTTTATAATATTTATTTTCATTCACAGTGAAATGATCATGACCTAACCTCTACATCAATAAGTATACATTATAATGAACAAGAAATGCAATTGCTCTTCACATGATTTTATGCATTGTTTTTGTTCAAATTTTGAAACTTAATTTCTTCTATATACTTTTCACACGTTAATATATAATCCAATATTTCAGTAAACATTAACTTATTTTATATTACAAAACTTTGTTCTTTACACTTTTAACACATTAATATATAGTCCAATATTCTAGAAAACCTTAACTTATTCCACACGTTGATATATTAAACTCACACCACATGTAGAGCAATTAATTTTCCACTT